CCACCTCCACCACCACCGCTGAGTCAGTGGAAGAGGTGGTTAGAGAGGTGTGCTCAGAGCAAGCAGAGACGGGCCTGGCAGAGCAATGATCTCCCGCTGGTACTTTGATGTGACCGAAGGGAAGCGTGCCCCCCTTCTTTTACGGCGGATGCGGCGGCAACAGAAACGACTTTGACACTGAAGAATACTGCATGGTGGTCTGTGGCAGCGTCATGTCCCAACATTTACTCAAGGCTACCCAGGAACCTCTTCCCCAAGATGCTGTTAAACTTCCTACTACAGCAGCCAGCACCCCTGACGCCGTTGACAAGTATCTGGAGACCCCTGGAGATGAGAACGAACACGCCCACTTCCAGAAGGCCAAGGAGAGGCTTGAAGCCAAACACCGGGAGAGAATGTCCCAGGTCATGAGAGAATGGGAAGAGGCAGAACGTCAAGCAAAGAACTTGCCCAAAGCTGATAAGAAGGCAGTTATCCAGCATTTCCAGGAGAAAGTGGAGTCCCTGGAACAGGAAGCCGCCAATGAGAGACAGCAGCTGGTGGAGACCCACATGGCCAGAGTGGAAGCCATGCTCAACAACCGCCGCCGCCTGGCTCTGGAGAACTACATCACTGCCCTGCAGGCTGTTCCTCCCCGGCCCCACCATGTATTCAACATGTTAAAAAAGTATGTGCGCGCAGAGCAGAAAGACAGACAGCACACCCTAAAACACTTTGAACATGTGCGCATGGTGGATCCGAAGAAAGCTGCTCAGATCCGGTCCCAGGTGATGGCACACCTGCGTGTGATTTACGAACGGATGAACCAGTCCCTGTCCCTGCTCTACAATGTCCCGGCAGTCACCAAGGAGATTCAGGATGAAGTCGATGAACTGCTTCAGAAAGAGCAAAATTACTCCGATGATGTCCTGGCCAACATGATCAGCGAAACAAGAATCAGTTACGGAAATGATGCACTTGTGCCATCTTTGACTGAAACGAAAACCACTGTGGAGCTTCTTCCTGTGAATGGGGAGTTCAGCCTGGATGACCTCCAGCCCTGGCATCCTTTTGGGGTTGAGCCTGTTGATGCCCGCCCTGCTGCCGGCCGAGGACTGACTACCGGACCAGGCTCCGGGCTGACCAATATTAAGACGGAGGAGATCTCAGAAGTGAAGACGGACACAGAATTCCAACATGATTCAGGATACGAAGTTCGTCATCAAAAATTGGTATTCTTTGCTGAAGACGTGGGTTCAAACAAAGGTGCAATCATGGGACTCGTGGTGGGTGGTGTTGTCATAGCAACCATGATTGTCATCACCCTGGTGATGCTGCAGAAGAAACAGTACACGTCCATCCACCACGGTGTGGTAGAGGTGGACGCTGCCGTGACCCCAGAGGAGCGCCACCTCTCCAAAATGCAGCAGAACGGCTATGAAAATCCAACTTACAAGTTCTTTGAGCAGATGCAGAACTAGCCCCACCACCACAGCAGCCTCTGAAGTTGGACAGCCAAACCACTGCTTCACTGCCCATCGACGTTTCTTCATAGAGTAACGTGGAAACAAACAATCCCTTCTGTTTTATTATTTACTCATGATCGCCTTCTCACAGCCGCGCTGTAACCCAAGTAGATGCCTGAACTTGAATTAATATACAAATCAGTCCTGTATTCTCTCTTTACATTTTGATCTCCACACTACATGATTAATGGGTTTTGTGTACTGTAAAGAATTTAGCTGTTCCAAACTAAAAAAAAAAAAAAAAAAAGGTCCCTTGGTCCAAAACATTTTCTTCTTGAGCTCTTTTTTTCCCCTCCCTCCCCTACTGTCCCACCCTCATGAATCCTCGATCAATGATCTATTGTTATTATTATTTTGTATCTTACACTGTTCATTGTCTCCTTTCACCCACATTTCTGTTCTTTGTCTCCTGGGGAGGGGGGGCTATATATCCAACCTTGTGATGGGTTTCTCTCTCTCCCCCTTCCCTCTCCCATCCTTCCCCCTACCCTCATGATATTGCTACTCCCACTACTATGTCTGAGGGGTTTATATGTCCTGAATTCCATGTGTGGAGAGCTGTTATCTGGACCAATGTGTGTTCTCTGGTCTAGCCAGATTTGTAAGGTCAAACTGGGTCATGGTAGGAATGGGGAGGAAGCATTCAGGAACTAGAGGAATGATGTGTGTTCATCAGTGCTATACTGCATCTCGGTTGAATCATCCCTTCCTTATAACACTTCTGTGGGGGGTTATCCAATTGTCTACAGATGGGCTTTGGGTCTCCACTCCAACCCCCCTCGTTCGCATCGATAGAGTTGTTTGTTTTGGATCTTTGATACCTGATCCTGTGAATACCTCATGATCACACAGGCTGGTGCGCTTCTTCCATGTGGGCTTATTTGTTTGCTTCCCTGCTAGATGGCTGCTTGTTTACCTTCAAGCTTTTAAGACCCCAGATACTATATCTTCTGATAGTGGGCACTATCCACTCTCTTCACCACATTTGCCTATGCACCCATTTTGTCTTCAGTACTTGTGTCAGGAAGGTGAGTATCAAAGAGTACAGAAAATATGCTCAGCCTGCCCCATGCACAGCAGGGTGAAACATAAAGGAAGTGCAAAAGGACACAAGGGGAGAAAAGTAACCAAGTCCCCAAGGAATCCTGAAAATAGACTTCAGACTCAGGGGACAGGGCTTGGTACCTTATCAGACTTGATCAGAAAACATAAATAAAGGTCAGCAGACAGACCTGGAACTCTCTATTGGTTTTTTCCTTGTTGTTGTTGTTGTTTGTTTGTTTTTCTTTTTCTTGCTCTTTTGCCCTATGTCTATATCAGATAGGCAGGATGAACAATCCCAAGGAGAACACAGGACCAGTGGTTCCAGGGGGACATAAGAGAAGAGGGGACAGGGAGGAGGAGTGGGGAGCCAACAAATTCAGGGATAAGGGAAAAATAAGAGATCTAAAATTGATGGCAAGGAAGGCGTATAATGCCTGGTGGGGTTTAATCAACTGCAATGTATCTGAAAGGAATTACTGATTGCCGAGTGGAGGGTAAGCATGATAGTGGAATAGGAGGAAGGTGAAAGGAAATAGAGGAAAGAACTAGGAGGCAAAAGCTGTTTATAGAGGTATAGCTATAAGCATGCATATATGTAAATATATTCATTTGTAGTGGAAGGGATAGAGGCCAATGCACATATATTTATATGTTAAGTATTAAGATAGCAGATAGACTTTGGCCTTCTACTCAAGACCTCCCTTAACACAAGAACGCTTTATTCTAAGCTTCTTCCCCTCTTGATGTAAATCAACTGTTAATTAATCTTGTGAAAAAATAATAAAGGTGGAGAAAGTTTGTTTTTCATGCCAGAAAAAGATTAATTTAATTAAAAAATGGGAGATATTGCATCTGGAGTCTTAAAAGCTTGTAGTTAAACAAGCAGCCATCTAGCAAGGAAGCAACAAAGCCCACATGGAAAAAGCACACCAGCCTGTGTGATCATGAGGTGTTGATGGGAAAAGGTATCAGAAGCATAAAATCAAGCAATCAAATCGATGTGAAGGGGTGTGGAGACCCAAAACCCACCTGTAAGAAAATTGGACAGTACCTCTCAGAAGGGCCACATGGAAGGGATGATAAATCCAGGGCTTGTTAGCACTGATGAACCACATAATTATCCTTTAGTTCTTTAATATATCCTCCCCTTACTATTATGGTTTTTTAATTTGTTTTACTTCATTAATGATGTTAGATTTGCATATGTTCATTTGTAAATTTAAGATTGTTCGATATACATAAGTCGAAATAGGTAACCCTTCAGAAACAGTAACAGGAATAAGGATTCCCTAAGGAATGGGAAGAGAGGGGAGGAGACAGGGGGAATGGAGAACTGAGAGCACTGGGATTGAGCAACAGAATTGTACGTGAGTGGATATATTGGATGTGCAAGATATGGCACTATATATATAATAAAGGAGAAAATAAAAATAAAAATATAAGGGTTCCTGGGTGGTAGGGTGGGGAGGGAGGGGATAAAGGAGAGCTGATATCAAGGATTTCAAGAAGAAAGAAAATGTTTTGAAACTGATTTTTGGTAGCAGTTGTACAATACTGTTTGATGTGATTATACTATTGAATGTTATGACATCTGTTAGAGCTCCCAATAAAAGGATTAAAAATAAATAAATAGGGGGAGTGGGGAGGGAGGGGAAAAATGAGGACCTAATGTTGGGGGTTTAAGTGGAGAGAAAATGTTTTGAGAAACGATGTACAAATGTGCT